TCCATCTTGATCAAATAAGCACGACGGATAATATTCAACAAGAAAGTCCTTCAACTCTACTCAGAAGTGTTCCAGTGAAAAATGAAAAATACAATAGCGGTAGAACGGAATCTTTCTCGACATTACAATATAAAAAATTAAAGCGTGGTATTATTTCAGACCTCAAAATTTCTGTATTAGATGTAAAACACCAACCTGTACATATAGGATACTTAAGTGTAACACTCCATATTATAAATAATGGTTGATTCATCAGGCCCTGGAACAGTAAGACAATGTAATACAATTGCGCTTTCCGATCTCGGAGACACGGAAGGATTCGGTAAACCCGGTACCGATGGTAAGTTATACGCTTTACACTTACACGATAATGTATACAATCGGAAAGAAGTCACATTCACGGGTAATCCATGAGATTTAAGCGATGTTGATGTTAGTAGACTCCTTAAAAACACTTCATACAATATTACTCGCAACGACGATAATAAATGGACTATGGTCGAAGCAAACATCGAGTGGCTACTGAATATCGTCATTACCCCACCTTATGTGATGATGGGTAAGGGACATAATTTAACTAAGATAATAAATAGTGGCATCGTACTCGCGGCTTATATCCCGTCAAAACGAAAAAGTGTGTTGGTCACTCCCCTGCCAGAAAACCCAGGTCATATGTTATATAGTCGTCCGGCCTTAAAAAATGTTACTTTAAATTTGGTTACTGAATTCGAAGATATTAAAGTTAACCTGAGTGCAATACCTAATCTTTCCACGCTTATTATTGAAGTCTTGTTCGGAGATGCACCGGAAGATGCCTTCGATATATTACCAGGTCTATCGATTAAATGGCTCAAGAAACACGAGCGTCAACGTTGCAGTATTATTCATATCGGAGCATCGCCCATTGCAACCCTCGAGGGGGTCCAAATTATTAAAAGTGACAGTATTTCTCTTTCTAAGATATTCTTACCGTATAATATACATTTGATAAGGTTGATGTATAGTCTCAAAACATTTAAGCAAGACCATTTAAAGACTATTATATGATCGTAATATACACTATGAGTTTAGATCCGACGCTCGGTGAAGCATTTGAAAAGATGGAAACTGTTGATGGATTTCGATTACATCAAATAAGCGACATAAAACATCGAATAGGGAAGGATAGGGAGTTGAGACTTGGATTGTATAAAAAGTATCGCAGAGCCGTGAATGCTCTGGACGGAGTTGACACCGTGCTTTTAGTATCTGGCATGGGACTCGGTGTAGCGGGTATCGGTTTACTATCAACTATAATCGCCGTGCCTATCGTGCTCGGCATGGAAATAACCGCTGGAGTCTCGGGACTGGCAGGAATAGCGATAAAATTCATTTCTCGTAGGTTACAAAAGAAAGCATTAAAACACGATAGTATTCGGATACTCGCCGAAGCAAAGTTGAACAGCATTGAGGATCATATTTCGACAGCAATGGCCGATTGTAAGATATCCGAGGATGAGTTTCGTTTAGTGCTGTCGGAGCTCACCAAATACAATGAAATGAAGCAGGAGATTCGATCAAAATCTCGTAAGACCAGTGGTATTAGCGAAGACGAGAAAAAAAAGTTCATAGAACAGGAGAGGCAACAAGCGCGTCAATTATTCCGTGCCAAAACCAAAGAACTGGTTGGAGATTAAAAATAGATTGCTTACTATCGTGTGATTACATTTAGACAAATGCTAACATAAATATATAATAATGGAGAAAGCTATTCAATGGAAAGAATTACCACAAGGTTTTTATTATATCAGTGATGTCAAACCAACCAAATACGGTTATCAATTGTTTCTTATCAATTTACAAAAAGAGTGTAGTTATATAGTCTGGTCTCCTAGTAAAATGAACGAAGAACTTAATAAAAATGTTGAATATCGCTTTATCGATAAAAATAATAAAGAATATTTTTATTACCATTTAGACTCATCTATAGCAATGATTGGCCCCAGGTATTGGTGAGCTAGAGCCAATCTCATGACTATCGTTGAATCGCATAATCATTTTGGCATAAAAAATCCCCCTGTAGTAGCAGTATAGGTAATAAATCCGGCTCCAGTGGAAGTGGTCCAGAACCCCCATTACCTATACTACTGATGAAGATATGATAAGTGGAGATAATGTAGGATATCTGATGAAGATATATGTTAACTAGAGATAATGTAGGTTATCTGATGAAGATATGTTAACTAGAGATAATGTAGTATATCTGGTGCAGATATGTTAACTAGAGATACTGTAGGATATCTGATGAAGATATGCTAACTAAGATACTCTAGGATATCTGATGAAGATATGTTAACTGGTGACAATGTAGTATATCTGATGAAGATATGTTAACTGGAGATAATGTAGTATATCTGATGAAGATATGCTAACTAAGATACTGTAGGATATCTGATGAAGATATGTTAACTAGACATATTGTAGTATATCTGATGAAGATATGTTAACTGGTGACAATGAAGTTTATGTGATGAAGATATGTTAACTGGTGACAATGAAGTTTATGTGATGAAGATATGTTAACTTGTGACAATGTAGGATATCTGATGGAGATATGCTAACTGGAGATACTGTAGGATATCTGATGAAGATATGTTAACCAGAGATATTGTAGGATATCTGATGAAGATATGTTAACTAGAGAACTGTAGGATATCTGATGAAGATATGCTAACTGGAGATAATGTAGGATATCTGATGAAGATATGTTCAGTGGGGACAATGTAGGATATCTGATGGAGATATGTTAACTAGAGAGCTGTAGGATATCTGATGAAGATATGTTAACTAGAGATAATGTAGGATATCTGATGAAGATATGTTAACTAGAGATAATGTAGGATATCTGATGAAGATATGTTAACTAGAGAACTGTAGGATATCTGATGAAGATATGTTAACTGGTTACAATGAAGTTGATCTGATGAAGATATATGTTAACTAGAGATAATGTAGGATATCTGATGAAGATATGTTCAGTTGGGACAATGTCTCATATCTGATGGAGATATGTTAACTAGAGAACTGTAGGATATCTGATAAAGATATGTCAACAAGAGACAATGTCGGATATCTGATGAAGATATGTTAACTAGAGATGATGTAGGATATCTGATAAAGATATGTTAACTGGTTACAATGAAGTTTATCTGATGAAGATATGTTAAATGGGGACAATGTGGCATATCTGATGAAGATATGTTAACTGGAGATAATGTAGGATATCTGATGAAGATATATGTTAACTAGAGATAATGTGGCATATCTGATGAAGATATGTTAAATGGTGACAATATAGCATATCTGATAAAGATATGTTAAGTGGGGACAATGTGGCATACCTGATGAAGATATGTTAACTGGCGATAGTGTGGCATATCTGATGAAGATATGTTAACTAGAGATCCTGTAATATATCTGATGAAGATATGATAAGTGGAGATAATGTAGGATATCTGATGAAGATAAATGTTAACTAGATATACTGTAGGATAGCTGTTGAAGATATGTTAAGTGGGGACAATGTGGCATATTTGAAGAAAGTATGTTAACTGTTGACAATATGGCATATCTGATGAAGATATGTTAACTGGTGACAATGTAGTATATCTGATGAAGATATGTTAACTGGAGAGATTGTAAGACAATGTGACTTATCTGATTATGATATGGTAAATAGAGACAATGTGACTTATCTGATAATGATATGTTAACTAGATATAATGTGACTTATCTGATAATGATATGGTAACTAGAGATAATGTGGCTTATCTGATAATGATATGGTAACTAGAGACAATGTGACTTATCTGATAATGGTATGTTAACTAGAGACAATGTGACTTATCTGATAATGATATGGTAACTAGAGACAATGTGACTTATCTGACAATGATACATGTATGTTAACTAGACACAATGTGACTTATCTGATGAATATTAATTAAAAACGAGGGGCAATGTAGCTATTTAGTGAAGGCCATAGTATGTAGCTTATCTGATGATGCCATATTACCTAGAGACAAGCGACTACACAGCTTAATTAATGACGCCATATTTACTATAGACACGGGACTATTTAGCTTATCTGATGACGCCATATTACCTAGAGACAAGCGACTACACAGCTTATTTTATGACGCCATATTTACTATAGACACGGGACTATTTAGCTTATCTGATGACGCCATATTACCTAGAGACAAGCGACGACACAGCTTATTTAATGACGCCATATTTACTATAGACACGGGACTATTTAGCTTATCTGATGACGCCATATTACCTAGAGACAAGCGACTACACAGCTTATTTAATGACGCCATAATTACTATAGACACGGGACTATTTAGCTTATCTGATGACGCCATATTACCTAGAGACAAGCGACTACACAGCTTATTTCATGACGCCATATTTACTATAGACACGGGACTATTTAGCTTATCTGATGATGCCATATTACCTAGAGACAAGCGACGACACAGCTTATTTAATGACGCCATATTTACTATAGACACGGGACTATTTAGCTTATCTGATGATGCCATATTAACTAGCGACAACGGACTGTGTAGCATATTTGATTACGCCATATTAACTGGAGACAATTTACATTGCTTTTGGTATTGGAATACATTTCTTTGCACGAAAAGTAGCACAGCAATCTTCTGCTGCAGTTGCAAAAAATGCAGACGTCTAAATCATATTTGCTACACTGGGAAAAATAACAAGGTGATTGTTTCCGCTTAGGATCTTTAAACGCATGTGATTTACAAGTGTAATCTACCTTCAAATAAATATGTACGAATTCGTATCACCTCTACCTGTTAACCCGAAAATGTATATTTCGTGAAATTTGATCTAAGAATATAAACGGTTTCATAAATGAGTCATATTTCATGAGGATATTATTTCACAATCTACTCAAGTCAGCCAAATGTATAATCAATCTGTTGCAGAATCCATATTCCCAACTCTCTGTTGTATATATACCCCTGCCTGCACCGTGCTACTCCATTAGACACAGACACTGACGAGTAAAGATGCTGATTCCAATTGTTGTCCTGGTTGTTGCGACCAACGTCTATGTGGCTGCCGAGAGCGCCCTGTGCCCTGTACCTCAACATAAAGTGCATTTCGGCTACCACTTTGGATCGGAGGATGGTAAGTTGATTACATCCGACAATATTCTTGTAAGGTAGACTAATTCAACAATGACTTAAATTATACATTCTGATTGGTCTGCCAGCGGTATCACATCGGCGTTAGGCCATGATTCATCTTCCCGAGGCAAGAGAGTTAACTGACTGTAAAAGTCCAGTTTCCAGTGGACTTTTATAGTCAGTTAACTCCCTTGCCTCGGGAAGATGACCATGATTTTGCTCATGGACGTTTCACCGTGAAACATTAATGCATATTTGAACGAACTTCTTTCACAAACCCAACTGATGTACGTCGGCAATTTCTAATGCTGATTTTTAATTATTAAGCGTTACTAAATACCGTGTTGTGGGGCCTAGAATATTTCAGTAAGAACAACGCAGCTTGTCTTTTGGTGATACTGTCCACCGCCTTACCATGCTTGAGTATCTTTGTCTGAAGAACCTTGACGTCATTACAGCGTTATAAAACGGCCGCAACACGTTCTCAGTGGAGGGCCGTTTGAATGTGTACAGGGTATCTTCTCTGTATTCATCTCTCACTTTAAAGAAACTTAAATACTATTGTGAAAATTATAGTTTGGTTTTAAGACCAACAAACGCGAATTCATCGTCCTTGATCCTTATATTCTGTCAATAAACCTAGTGTTGAAAATATTAGACTCAAAAAGGATCACTCATCATTCGGGTATATTTTCTCACTTGGTCACAGGTATGGAGCTTCTATATTGAACTGCACATATTAGGATTCGTATGTTTTTCTTCAAAATTTGTTCAATTAACCAAAACAGAGTCTTCACTAGAGCAACAACTTTGAAAATCGATATGAAGTCGCTGATGTGTTCCTAATATTAATTCTCTTGTAAGTAGACAGAAATGTATTATAGCGTCATATATACGTGCCAGCAATCTGTGCTCGTGGGTTCAAATCCCAGGACCCGTGAAGATTCCGGGGTAGATTAGGTCTTCAGCAACCGTACTTGCCGTAAAAGGCGACTAACGGGATCGGGTGGTCAGGCTCGCTGACTTGGTTGATGCATGTCATCGATCCCAATTGCGTGATTACTTTCGTGATTTCTCCTCACCATACCCATGCTGGTAGGATCACCAAAGTGGTAAACGTCTCGGACCTTCATTTATAAGGGTTTCCTCCCGCAACCAGCTGATACGCTGTGATACGACTGACATACTGTTTTATACGGGGTCTTTTATATTGGTCTTCAACAATCCATGTTTGTCGTAAGAGTCGACTAACGGGATCGAGTGGTCAGGCTCGCTGACATGGTTAATGCATGTCATCGTATCCCAAATGTGTAGATTGGTGGTGATAATGTCAATCACTCGACTGTCTGGTCCAGATGCGATCATTTACAGACCGCTGACAAATAGATAAAATATTGCTGAGTGGGGCGTTAAACAACAAACAAACAAACAAACCAAACTCACATTTCGTTGGACGCAAGTATTATTAATTACTAGAATGTAGAGGCGGGTGTTACCGGTAGAGCAGAACACGCTTACTCTTTTCGTGAACACTTGGTGTTAACACTAATTTTCAGTGACCAATTCATATGATTGTTCTTTACTTATGAACCGCCTCCGTGGTCAAGTGGCAGAGCGTCCGCCCGGAGAGTGGAAGGTCCGGGGTTCGATCCCGGCCGCGTCATACCAAAAGACGTTAAAAGATGGTACTTGCTGTTACCCTGTCTGGCGCTTGGCATTAAGGGCATACAACAAGGACTGGTCGGCTCGGAGTCAGTATACTGTGTCTGAGTGGACTATTCATGTTAAACCGCCGCATGGTATCTCAGTGGGCTGGCACTATAAATCGGCATCAGTCAGGTCTAGTACAAGCAGCCACACAAACACACACACGTACATGCACGTCGCTATATAAGTGCAATAATCTTGGACGCGACGTTAAACCGCATTTCACCTCACCTCACCTCACCTCTTTACTTATGAGCAGCAGAATCTCTGAACTTATACACAGCAGACGTAATTCCAAATTATAATATCGTTTTTAGTTTCAACAAAATCTGTAAATGCGCTATTGTGTCACTGGATTGTCTGGTTTGATGATTGGCCACCGTCGTCGCATGGCTCGAGTACTGCTGTGCTGTGTCAGACAACACACAGTGATACTGACTTACTTTCCGATGCACATTGTGTGAGTGGCGAGTGCTTCCGTAAGGGCAGGCCATGCTTACCCTTATCGCGAACACTCGGTGTCATCACTGATTTTACAGTGATCGATTCGTATATTCATCACCAGTTTGTCTTTTACGCCCAATGGAATCTGTTTCTGCGAATGATCTCATTATTCTCGGGCGTTGACGTTTTGAATAACTCTTTTAGGTAAGGAGTCCTTTCCATTAAGAGGAATGTCATTTATTCCGTTGCAGCATAGTTATTTAATTCTATAGCTTAACGCCACACTTTCTTCCGATTTGCAGATCCTAATCACTGGTTCGATCTGGACAAGGACACCCACTGCTGTGGTGGGTCTAAACAGTCTCCCATTGACATCAGTACTCAAGGAGCAAAGTGTGCCAAGCTAGGCCGCATCCAGTACGAACCCAAACCACAAGGACAAATATCTGGCAATCTGAAAAGAAATGGTAAGAATTAATATTTATTTATTTATACTACTTATCTAGCGACAACTATAATTCCGTAAAGACCTCTTGTTGATATCCAGATAATGTAATATGACCTCCATTGTCAGGTGTATTACTTGTATATCTCCATTCTATTATTATATATACAACGAACAAACAAACACATATTTTCCTGAGAGACATTTTGTGCTAAATTAGATATAGAAGCGGTGGAGATTGTGACGTTACGTTCTCGAACACCTGGTGTCCTCGCTATTTGAAAGTGATTCATAAACAGATGCTCATGATATAATCGGAATAGACTATGGAAAGGGTTTGGCCACTTTTATTTCAAAATGAAACTATTGTGGCGAATGGATTCAGGGTATTTATCAGAAAAGGGTGGAGATAGACATCCTCGATAACACAGTGTATTCTTTCTCAAAGCTCTAACACACATTTGACTGCAGGCCATGGTGCGAGTCTTGCCTTCTTCGCAAAAAATCGCCTCGTGACGAAGGACATGCCTTTCACTGACGGCGAGTACGTCCTGGACTCAATGCACTTCCACTCTCCCTCGGAACATCTCGTCAACGGCAAGCACTACGATGGGGAGGTAAGGGCACACCAATTCCGATTGCGGTACTTTTAACTGTCTATTCAGAAGTGAAGAGATGGCGATTGTAATGTATTACGAAAATAAGAAGGATTATTGAAATGACATCAAGTGTTTCATTGAACATTTGCTTGTTCACCATCTTGACATAACCTCTTCATAACATACTGTTCAAATCCAGTGGGGTAGTCGAGTAGTTTAAACACACTCGTCTCGCAGAATTCCTGTGTTCGATTACCCACAGAGCACAATGCATGAAACCCATTTCTGATGTCCGCTGCCTATATACTATTGAAATATTGCTAAATGCGGCGTAACACAATAGTCACCCACTCCCCTAATCAAGAGAAGCAGCTTTAGCCCAGAACATTTTAAGGTAACCTGCCACTTTGTCTCATGCTCGTGACTGTCTGTTACAGGTTCAACTGTGTTAGAATTTAGGAATATCGTATTCACCAACACTGACCGCCAGACCAATTAAATCTCCTCTTACGACAGATACTTTGCTGGGGACCAATAGTCTTACCCGGAATATCTTCCGACCAGAGATGAAACTTTACGAAGAGTCAATGAGATATATCTCCTTGTTTAATTTAATACCACCGTTCTTCCCAGTGCGCACTTTTGGCAACGGTCGACACTAAACAAAATGTTGCGCTGACCTAACGCAGATTCCTTTCGATTGATACATGTCTTATGTCAGTTTGGATGTATGCACATTTATTTCATGATGCTATATAACAACATACATCGTCGTGGTTGTAGTTGCATCTGGTTCACTACAAGAAGGAGTATGGGAGTGTTGGGGCGGCTGTAGGCAAGGAAGACGGTCTGGCTGTCATTGGAGTGTTCCTGGAGGTAAGATGTTTCAACTACTCCTCCAACTCCCCCTCGACCACGACACACTCTGTGATACGATAGCTTTTATCTAAAATAGTGCGCAGTTTTCCAATCAAGTAAATGTAAAATATTCAAACCGAGCAACCAGCTGAGAAATATGCATATCTAAATGTCGAACTTACATTCGAAACGGGGGGAAAGCATGCCTCAGAAGTCCACATGCCTGCACATTCACAGACAGAATCCTTTCACGAACATATATTTCTTTCATTCGGAGTTACAGTTTTATCACTGCATACTTGTTTTGTATACATATGCTGTTGGGTTTTTCCACAAATGTCTTGTTCAACGTTTACTGTAGGGCTGTATTACATCAGAAATACAGACATTATTGCACTCGTCGATGCATATGCCTTCGTCAAAAAGATTTTCAAATAAAATAAATAAAAACACTGAAATGAGACCCGGCCCAATTATTGAAGCAGAACATTGTCAATAATACCATTTAGTACGTTATATATCTAATGGCATTAATATAAATTGAGGTCAATTTAACCTTGACAAGTAGTGTCATTGTTTGTATCGTGACAGTCTCATTCCGATAACCTTCCCGCAGGTAACAGGGGAGTCGGTAGATACTGCTTTCAACAGGTTTGTGGATGGAGTGGCGAAACTGAAAGGCGGTAGGTATATGGCACAAGGGACATATTAAGATTTGATCTGGCGTTATTCAAGGCTAGTGATTTATGTTTTGTTTGTTGTTTAGAGCCGCACTGAGCAATATTCCAGGCATATGACGGCAGTCTGTAAATAATCGAGACTAGATCAGACAGTCCAGTGATTGATATCATGAGCATCGATCAACGCAATTGGGATACGATGACATGCATCAACCAAGTCAGCGAGCCTGACCACCCGATCCCGTTAATCGCCTTTTACGACAAGCACAGTCGCCTGTAATGGCAAGCATGGGTTGCTGAAGACCTATTCTACCCCGGACCTTTATGGGTACATATAAAACCCTTTATGGTGGTTGTATTCAATGAGGCGTTTTAAAAGGTTTTTTAGTGAGTGAGTGAGTAGGGTTTTAACGCCGCTTTTAACAGTATTCCAGTTATATCACGGCGTGTCCGCTTAATGTGGGAGGAAAGCACAGAGTGATGCAGGTCTCAGACGTTTACCACTTCGGTGAAACCCACGAGCACGGGTATGGTGCTGACAAACCTAGAAACATAATCGGGGCGAACCGGGATTCGAACCCACAATCATAGGTTTCTGGCGTGCCCAAGGGACGCAACTCTGCACAGCGACTCGAGGCGCCTTAGACGACTGGGCCACCCATGCCCCCTGTAAATAAGTACATGTTATAAAATCGGCCTCCTTTGGATGGCTATCTAAGGTGGCAGCCCATATGGTGCCTGATTCAGATAGGCCGCCTCCGCTGTCTAGTGGTAGAGCGTCTGCCCGGAGAGCGAAAAGTCAACTGGGCCACCCGTGCCCCCAAAAGGTTTTTTAGCCACAAAATAGATTAATAGTTAAAGGCATGTTAGCATCAAACGATAAGCAAACCTTCTTTTTTCTTTTCGAATACACATGATGTGTGCTTGTTTGCGAAACGCCACATTTAGCAGTATTCCATTAATGTTACATGTAAATTAGCAATGTGAATACACAAACATCAAGTGTATATTCAAAAATATATCACTGTATGGGCTAAAACCTTAGTACACGATAAGTAAGCTTCAAATGGATTTCTCTGAAAATATGTATTCCCGATTTCATAAAACTGGCCTTAGGAGCAATATATATTACTGTTATTTTATATTATCTTGCCAAGCGTTGCTTATAGCGTTGGCTCATGCCGCTAATGACTAGGGTTCGATCCCGTGAAAATTCCGGAGTAGAATAGGTCTTCAGCAACCCATGCTTACCGTAAAAGGCGACTATGCTTGTCGTAAAAGGCGACTAACGGGATCGGGTGGTCAGGCTCGCTGACTTGGTTGATGCATGTCATCGATCACAATTGCGTGGATCGATGCTCATGATGTCAATCACTGGATTGTCTGGTCCAGACTCGATTATTTACAGACCGCCGTCATATAGCTGGAATAGTGCTGAGTTCGGCGTTAAACAACAAACAAACCAAACCAAACCTTACAAGGGTAAATGTTGGAAGCCTATTTCTGGCGCTAAAAGCAGCGTAAAATCACACTCGTCTAATGTCCGTAAATCGTAATAATATATTGTGAAACAGAGATGCCTGATGACATCTTCTCCAGTATTGTGATGTACTTCTGTTACCATGGTGTAGATGGAGCCGAGGAAATGAGTCTGGACCCCCGCGAGCTGCTGCTGCTTGATGACGATTACTTCACCTACAAGGGTTCGCTTACCACCCCGCCCTGTTCGGAGTCTGTCCGATGGGTTGTTATGCAACTGCCTGTTCTCACCACAAAAGATAGGGTAAGATTTCTTTTGTTGGACCAGACAATGATGAACACCGATCCACGCCTTCGGTGTGGATGACATGTAGTCAATCAAGCCTGACCACCCGATTCAATAAGTCGCCTCTTGCGAGAAACAGGTGTTACCGGCGACCAATTATAACCCTGAAACCCCCGTGTAGGCGAATGTTGATTTGAAACATTTCGTTAAAAAGTTAATAAGGGATATGTAAGCCTGTTGCGTGTCATTGGCTTCATGATATTTACAGCTGATCGATTCCATTCTTGTTTCATAATGTTCAAAATAATTGGAACACTTAAAACATTATTAAATTCCACTCTGTTTTGTCGGAGGTTAAACATTGACATTTGAGTACAGGTAAATCTTCGAAATCTTTCACTCAGTTCAACAGTTCAAAATAGATCTCAACACCAATTGTCCTGTCAATGCGTGAGTTTGAACGAAACAACAATGATATAACCTTGTGCCAACCAATATGGAAGGAAAGCCTAAAGTCACGGAGGTCGAAGACATGTACCACGTTGATAATGCTGACAAATGAATGGTCACAATAAGGGATAAATCGGATTCAGACCCACAACGAGCGGATGGTGGTGTTTTAGGGGCGCAACCCGCTGCCAAGACGCCCTGATTAACAAATTGATAGGCCCCTGTCGCACATCTTCCCGAGGCAAGTGAATTAACTGACTATATAAGTCCAGTTTCCACCCTTGCCGAACTAGGCTGGTATTATGGAGTTACATTTTGGCTGGACTAACGAGTCTATGCATAGTCCAATCAAAATCGCGCTCCGAAAGCGAAATCCGGTTCGTAAATTGTCGTGCAGATTTCGGTCGATTGCGGGATTTGCAAAGCATGGGCACCGCTAACTCGTTGTCAACAAATATTTTCTACATCTTTTCATGTTTTTAATGAAGGTGCTCACGTGATTTGATGCACTTCGCGATGTAAGACTCGTTTTATCACAATACATAGATCTTGATTATCGATCAGATCGTCTTGACTGGGCGCCGCAGTTTTCTTTGAAGCAAATGCAAGTGATACGAGAGGTGGAATCTGATTGGTCCATAGGAGAGGCATAGAAGGGACATAACTCGTAATAGCCACTGGTGGCGCTACGATCGAACCCAGGAATTCCAGCATAGTTCGGCAAGGGTGGAAACTGGACTTTTAAAGTCAGTTAACCCTCTTGCCTCGGGAAGATGCTGTCGCAGGGATCGATACATATCTATAATTTAAGGTACCGACGTTTACTACAACATATGAAAAACTGAGACGCCCAACGCTAACACCGTATTCGTGCGTGCGTGATTCCCGTGCACCCTTTTGAGTTGAGTTGATTGGTTCAACTGTGTCATATGGCCCTGTGGCGCAGGGGTAACATTATGCAGATGGCTGTTACAATGAATGCTCGTTCCACCCGTGACGAACAGGTCTGGTTGTTGATGAAATATAGTGATAGCTAAAGAGACAGATATTTTTATTCATGAACCGATTGTCTTTAAATGTAATATCCAGTTATGTATGACTGTTTCATAATCTCATACCAACTTTGACTGGAGTAGGTCCGATAGTTTTTCAGATATTGTAGTAAACGTCGGTACCTTAAATTACCTTCCAGACTTTACACCAGTCGATGGTGATTCTATCCTGATACATTGTTGCTTTCTTGTAGCTTCGCGTGCTGAGGAATGTTCCAGTCAGTGACGGTAAACCCCTCTACGTTGATACAAACGTCAGACCACATCAACCGCTCAACGGCCGCCCCGTCTACCTCTCATGCTGATGGACACGGCCGGCGTCTGTGTATTGCAACGACACCTTATACCGACCATTGAATTATTTATAATCATGTCCTCAATTAAAATAAAAAACTGTCACGAACATTGAACACGTGTTTCTCTATTCTTTTTAACAAGAACCAGCATGGTCATACGACGTGGGCAACTGTGTTTGTCGTAAGAGCTCGAGGCGACTAACAGGATCGAGTGGTCAGGCTCGCTGACTTGGTTGATGCATGTCATCGATCCCAACATGTGTCAATCACTGGATTGTGTGGCCCAGACTCGATTATTTACAGACCGCCGTCATATAGCTGGAATATTTCTGAGTGCGGCGTTAAACAACGAACAAACAAAGCAACGTGGAAACATGGTGACCTCATAATTCATTTGCGTTGCTCGATGCTCAAGGTGCCTGGTCCAGACTCATTTAAAACATCGCCGACATAGGAGACTAAATGGATTGGTTGTCAGGATCGGTGACCTGGTTGATTGTATGTTATCATGTACCAGTTGCTTGCAATCTGTGTTCATGGTTGCATTGGCTGGATTGTCTGGCCCTGACTCGATTATTTATAGAAAGCCGTATATATCACGAATATTGCTGAGTGCTGCGTTAAACAACAACTTTTACGTCGCATGACGCTCTTTGATATCTTCTTTGAAAGAGCATGCACGATTGTACCTACAACGACTTGGCAAGTTAAAATCGTCCCAATTGTCATACAGTCTTCATACTAACTTCATGACCTAAATGGGGCGGTCGGGTAGCCTAGTGGTTAAAGCGTTCGCTCGTCACGCCCAAGACCCGGGTTCGATTCCCGACATGGGTACAATGTTTGAAGCTCATTTCTGGTGTCCCCCGCCGTGATGTTGCTGTAATATTGCTAAAAGCGGCGTAAAACCATACTCACTCACTCATGATCTAAATATGAAACAGATGAGGCGATTTCACTGGTCTTTTTATTTATAGCTCAGGTTGGTACATGAGTGGAAGGGAATTGGCTATTTAACCATTATTTATCAGATGATCTGAATCTTCTTGGCAAAAGTCCCTCCTGGTATCCATGGTGATGCCTAATCCTTGCCTTAATGTCCTAACCCCGATTTCTCATAAAAAAAATTATCTATGAGGAAGTCTAGAGGGCCTTTGCATCTACAAACACGTTACAAATGTATCATAGTTGAAATATATATTGAAACAAGTATTGATCAGCTGCAGTTTGGGCCACAGGGCCATTCAATGACTAAAGCATCAACGAAAGGTTTATTTTACAGGCGCTTCATGAAGTCGAACGCTTTAACTGTTTTATCAATTCTTGCGACCACATGAAAATGAGTGAATCAATGAGTTGGGTTTAACGTCGCTTCAAACAGTATTCCAGTTATATCACGGCGTGTCAGCTTAATGTGGAAGGCCTTAATTATGGAAGTCTAAGACGTGTACCACTTGGGTGAAACCCACGAGCACGGGTATGGTGCTGACAGACGTAGAAACATAATCGGGGCGAACCGGGATTCGAACCCACAATCATAGGTTTCTTGCGTGCCCAAACTACGCAACTTGGGACGCAACGCAGCGAATCGCGGCGCCTTAGACGACTGGGCCACCTGTGCCCCCACGCACGTTTTGAAAACACCTTCTGAAACGGGAGAGGATGTTTTGTGTTTGTTTGGTGTTTTAACGCCGCACTCAGCAATATTCCACCTACATGACCACGACCAAACAGGCTCGGTGACGTTGTTAACTGCGTGTCATCGTTACCAACGACACGGACTGTTGCTCATAATATCGATCTCAGATTCCTTTGTCAACCAGACTCGATAAAACCGCCGTCACACAGCTCAAATATTACGTTAAACAGCAAAAAACAAGCCAAAATACCAGAAGTAATGGGCACTTTGTGCTATGCGAAGGACCGTCTTGCGATGCCTTTCTGAACGAAAGTAACCCGTAGCAAGAACGGATTATCGCGCCCCTAACAATAAGGGGAGATAACTCTCAATGTGTCAGTCAAGTTCATCTGAATAGTGGCTGAAATGTATGACGTTACAGCACAGGCTTCTCTTCAGTGTGTTTACTTCAGAGTTGATTATGATATATGAAACAACCGGTCCAAAAATAACCCTGCCCTCAGGTCATGTACAATTGCCTATTAATACGACGGGAAATGTCAAAACCCATGTAGATACTGATTTCAGCAGCCATGCGAAGAATAAATCGCCCTCGCCCAAATTTGCATAGTCATCAACGCATACATTTTTCAACCTGTAAACTGCTAACTAAATGTATGACATGTTACATTTTGAAAAATACAGATGTTCCCAAAATCATGACTGGCAAGGGTGACCATCTATACATGTTTCAATTTGCTCGAAAATTGGTGGGCAATTATGCTGCACTGAAAAATATATACTCTTCAAAAACAAAAAAAGAAAGAAACGCAAAACGGATATTTTTGGCCATAAAAGCAAAATTGTACGGTTCAGGGTTTTTGATTGCCTTGCATCTGCGTCAATCGAACAGTGCCAGTTGAACAACATGCCAAGATTAACAGAAGTACAAAGATATACTATATATATGCCGCTTGCAGGCAGGGGAATCCCGATCAGCTGTAGCTAAGTTTTCAATGTAGCGCCCAGCACCATCACAAGGCTATGGGATCGGTTTCAACAGCATGGGTCAACACGTGATCGGGCAAGGTCGGGACGACCAAGAGTAACCATCCCCGACCAAGATCGCTACATCCGACCGTGTCACCTACATCAAAGAACGACTACAGCCACCTCAACCGCATCCCAAATACCCGGACTGCACAGAATCTCCGACCAGACGCACGAAACCGTTTAAGGGCAGCAGGTCAACGAGAAAGACGTCCTGTTCGACGCGTCATATTGAGTCGACAACATCGTCAACAACGACTGTATTGGTGTCGTCAACATAGGGTATGGCCTCAACTGCGATGGAGAGATGTCTGGTTCAGCGACGAATCAAGATTTCTCCTCCGTCGAGGGGATTAAAGAGCACGGGTCTACAGACGTCGGGGAAAACGTTACGCCGGAAACTGCGTACAGTAAGTGGACAGGTTTGGTGGGGGTAGCGTTATGATGTGGGCGGATATCTCTCATCATGGCAGGACAGGTATGGTCCATGTCCAGGTCAGTCTTACGGCTCAACGATACAGCAACGAAGTTCTCCTACCACACGTCCCCCCAATTGCAGCAACAGCAACAGTGTATTCCAGCAGGACAACGCCCGACCGCATACAACACGGATCACAAGAGCCTGTCTACACAACAACAACGTTGATGCTCTCCCCTGGTCCTCGAAGATCCCCGGATTTGAACCCGCTAGAGCACCTGTGAGATGAATTGGATAGACGGCTATGCCGACATCAACCACAACCCATTCGTTGCAGCAATTGGCTTTTGGGTTGCAGGCTGAGTGAGCTACCATTCCCCAGGATTTGATTCGCATACTCCTCTCTTCCATTGACAGGAGATGTCTGTCCGCTATCGATTCCAACGGGGGACATACGCGTTATTGATGGTAGCTGACCTTTACCTTTAGACTTATCCTATGTATCGATAACTGAGACGACTACAATCACCAAGTGTACTCTCCACAACATTTTGGCTCAATGCCTTGTACGGTTCCTCGTATAAAATAGTATATATACTGAACCGCAAAAGAAACGTCACCCAAAGTCACATTGTATGAAAAGTTGTCATTTAAATATCTGTGTATTTTTCGTCAAAGTTTCTAAAACGGCAACGGCCATGGTAACCCAGTTCCGTGCAAATTGAAATGCACATGCGTTCCCCCATTGCTTGCCCTATAAAAATCCACCCAGATCGGATAACATTTATTCGTTATTGAATTGCTACCACATGCCATGATTGACAATATATCAGCGACACCAAGGCCTTCGAAGATTGCACGCTGGACAAACCGCCCGGCAAGTAGCCAATACATTTCAAGTCCACGTAAGGACCATATACAGGCTCCAGCAACGGCACCAGACCACCAACACTACAGATGACCGACCACGTTGAAGACCAAGGGTCACCACCCGACATCAGGATCGTCAGATTGTGCGACAGCATCTTCAAGATCACTTTGTTGCTGCTGCGGAAACTCCTCGACAGACCATGGGGACACACCAGCGACACATTCGTGCGGAAACCGTGCATCGACGATTGACGAGCAGACACCTGCACTGTCACAGGCCACACCGAGGACCCATTCTGACACCACGTCATCGCCGGGACCGTCTTCAGTGGGCAACACAGCACCAGCATTGGCGCCACCAGCAGTGGAGAAGTGTCCTCTTTTAAGACGAGAGCCGTTACTGTATCTCAACAGCAGATGGCAGAGAGAGAGTCTGGCGACGCCGTGGGGAACGTTATTAAGATGCTTGTGTTGTTGAGAGAGACTCTTGGGGTGGTCCGAGCATCATGGTGTGGGGTGGATTTGGTCTTGCACTGAGGGTCGGCCCTGTGGTTTTACAGAACATCGGTCCAGGGAGAGGCAATGGTGTCAGCTGCTCGGTACACTTATCAAATCTTGAGACCACACGCCATACCTCATTTTGCACGTCGCCGCAACCACGAGTTTCAGCATGATAACGCCCATGCCCACTCAGCGAGATCAACAAGAGACTTCCTGCAGCAGAATGGCATCGGAACCATGCAGTGGCCTGCCATCAGTCCCGATTTAAATCCGATTGAGCCCCTGTGGGACGAGATTCAAAGACGGCTTAATGACGTCCGACCAAGGCCGATAACTGCAGCTGAACTGCGTCAGGCGTTCCTCAGAGTGTGGGCTCAAGTGCCTATGGCCTTCATCAACCGGCACATCCATTCCATGTATCGACGTTGCACGGCAGTCATCAATGCACATGGCGGACACACGAGATACTGACTTGTGATGCCATTTTCTCAGAGGCTGGTGCTGTGTTTCACTTTAAGATCATTTGACAATTAAATTTCAACCTTGATGATCAGTTTTGCCAAGTTTCATCTTTCATGTCTCAAAGTATGTTTACAATGTTTGGACAAATAAGGTTTCTCATATATCTATCCATGGTGACGTTTCTTTTGCAGTTCAGTATGTATTGAAAAAAACATAATATATTCATATTGAGTGCTGCTCGATTAAACAAAACGTAAAACGTTATTATTAACATGCTAATTTTCCCATACACAATCGGAACATTAAACGCTCTTTGTAAACTTATGGAAACATAATCCATCATATTGAGTTGGAATAATCAATACACCTGTACAAACTTTGAATAAAAAAGCTCCGTGTAAATTTTATTATAGCGCTTCTTTGCCACCGGTCGAATACCCTGACATTTTCGGTAACACCTGGTAAGATCACATTTCGTCAATTTGATAGTGATTCATAAACATGATTTGTTTGTGATTTAAGGTCGCACTCAGCAATATTCCAGCTTTTGTACCCTGGTGTGTAAATCATTGAGTCTGTACCAGTCAATCCAGTGACTGACATCATGAGCATCAATCTACGCATTTAGGATACAATGGCATGTATCAACCAAGTCGCCGAGCCTGACCACCCGCTCCAGTTAGTCGCAATAAATACAAAAGTGCGCTGTGCCTATATTCCTACCAGGTAGTCCCACGAGTGTTTAATTTAATAATGAATAAGTCCCCCTGCTGACTTGAAACGAGCAAATCATCTGTACAAACTTGACAACGTCGTTCATTTGCGAAATGTATATTGGACAAAATGTCGAAGGGAACTTAATAACGAATCATAAATTGGTGAGCTTTTATAAAGCATCGAAAAAATGTGTCATTAATTTCCAGCCTACACTGAACGTCCAAAATCATATCGATGGGCCTCGTGCACACCTGACTCACTTACCTTTTGTTGCGTTGAAGCCGAGGCTTTCATTTATGAGCAACAACATCATCCATGAAGAAGCTGTTGTCTAGATCATGGGTAAGGTTCCTTCTATCTAATATGTAAGCAGGTGTTTGCCTGAAATGTAGGAACTCTGTTAGCAGCAATCTATAGATCCTTGCTTATTATACATAGAAAAAGATAAATCGTTTATTACATATAAGCTAATCAATCGTATCGCAGGTACGTATCAATGGACAAAACCATACTCTTTTTCTGTAATCATCTGTAATTTGGGAATGCCACCTACGTTTTTGAGAGTATTCATTATGAAGTATGTAAGTGATCGGTTCTCCTTAAATATTCAATACATATGTAGCATTGTATCCTTGCGCTCATGTTTAAAGACGTATCAATAGATTATTCAAATTATATTACCTGAACAATGTTCCACTCGTGTTACTCCGATATACCTTCGTTAAACCCAATACATTTAAACCTACGACTGTAAATAACCTATGTAACCAACTCGCGATATATGCACAACAGCAGTAGAAAAATCCACAAAGAGAATATTGACGGTATTTGTTCTACACTACTGTCTTAGTGCAAAACTACATCGACAATAAGATACAATGGGTCAGATAGAGTTATTCATAACCCAGCATTACTTGAATTAATACTGCACGTGGAAACAGTTTATTCATCTTGATTATCAAGAGATATTATCTGGGCTCTCCTGTTTGGGAGTCGTGTTTTGGGGTGATCCGAAGCATAAAAATGGGGATCCCTGAGGAGGTCCACTCTGTCAACAGATACTGAAGTAAAGTATAATCGAACGACGCATGGACATGGATTTTTATTATTTCAGACAAAGTGATTGAGTGAAAAAAGTCGGACATTCAGGGGCATCCTACAACTGCTTATATTTAATACGATTCATTTAATTATTAAACATACGTTGGTGATTGTGACGTGTTATTCAGAGACATTGTGGCTTATCTGACCATGATATTTTATCTGGAGACAATGTGGCTTATCTGACCATGATATGTTAACGAGAGACAATGTGGCTTATCTGACAATGATACGTTATCTGGAGACAATGTGGCCTATCTGACCATGATATGTTAAGTAGAGATATTGTGGCTTATCTGACCATAATATGTTAAGTAGAGATATTGTGGCCTATCTAACCATGGTATGTTAAGTAGAGATACTGTGGCTTATCTGACCATGATATGTTAAGTAGAGATATTGTGGGTTATCTGACCATGATATGTTAAGTAGAGATATTGTGGCTTATCTGACCATGATATGATGAGTAGAGATATTGTGGCTTATCTGACAATGATATGATGAGTAGAGATATTGTGGCTTATCTGACCATGATATGTTAAGTAGAGATACTGTGGCTTATCTGACCATGGTATGTTAAGTAGAGATACTGTGGCTTATCTGACCATGATATGTTAAATAGAGATACTGTGGCTTATCTGACCATGATATGTTAAGTAGAGATAGTGTGGCTTATCTGACCATGTTACGTTGAGTAGAGATATTGTGGCTTATCTGACCATGATATGTTAACCAGAGACAATGGGGCTTATCTTACCATGACATCTTATATATAACTCATGATCCTGAAAGGCATGTGATATGCCAGTGCAGCCTTACCTTCAAATAAATATGGACGATATATATCACATTATCACATTACCTATACCTGTGAACCGGATATACCAGCATATCATAAAGAGTGATTTAGGAATATAAACGGTGTGATTTATGAGTCTTATATGCTATGAGGATGTTATTTCACTATCTACTCAGATCAGTCTGACATACAACCCATCTGTTGCAGAGTTTATATTCCCGACTATCTGGTATATATACCCCTGCCTGCACCGTGCTACTCCATTAGACACAGACACTGACGAGTAAAGATGCTGTTTCCAATTGTTGTCCTGGTTGTTGCGACCAACGTCTATGTGGCTGCCGAGAGCGCCCTGTGCCCTGTACCTCAACATAAAGTGCATTTCGGCTACCACTTTGGATCGGAGGATGGTAAGTTGATTTCATCCGACAATATTCTTGTAAGGTAGAGTTATTCAACACTGACTTGAATCCTGCATTCTGACTGGTCCGCCAGCGGTATAACTTTGCTCATGACCGCATCACTGCAAAAAAAAATGTTTATGTAAAAGCACTTCTTCCATAAACCCAACTGGTGAAGGTACGCTATTTTATACGTTGCGAAATAAAGTAACAACAACTTAGCTTGACATCTACTCCCCACAGCGTCACAATGCTTGGGCGTCCTTGTCTGGAGAACCTTAGCGTCATCATGGTCTTTTAAGACTAAACATCGCAAGGGTCGCAACACTTTCTCAATGGATGGCTGTTTGAATGTGTACAGGATATCTGCTCTGGAGTATTTCATTGTCTCACATTGAAGAAGGTTATATATTGTGAAAATTATGGTTTGGGTATACGAATGCCAACACACGTGAGTTGTAACACATCGGCCTTTGATCTTTGCATTTTCGACCAATAAACCTTGTATTGAAAATAGACACCACCAATGCCACATCACTCATCATTCGCGTTTATTTTCTCACTTGGTCATGGTACAATGGAGATATCCCTGACTTTTTATTTTAAAGATTTCGACTTCACAGGTCTGGATCGACTGCAAATATTACAAAAGGTTGAATTATCCGAAACATTGAAAATAGATGCTGACGGATGCTGTAATGACGCTGGGGTGTTCCTAATATAGATTATATCCAGAGTTGACTTAAGTGTTGATACATTATATATATTAAAGCGTCATATATGTGCCACAATGCTTTGTATTTTCGGTTCGAATCTCAGATTATTTTCGTTTGTCCTTACCATACCCGTACTCGTGGGATTCACCAAAGTGGTAAACGTCTCGGAACTTCATTAATTAGGGTTTCCTCACGCATCCAACTGATACGCTGTGATATAACTGGCAAACTGTTTTATGTGGGGTTATACCAAACTCACTATTGGCACTGGTCTGCAGCAACCGATGTTTGTTGTAAGAGGCGAGTAACAGGATCGAGTGATCATGCTCGCTGACTTGGTTGATGCGTGTTCTCATTTCCCAATTGCATAGATCGATGCTCATGATGTCAATCACTGAACTGTCTGGTCCAGACGCGATTATTTACAGACCGCTGTCATATTGCTGAGGAATGTCATTTACCGCGTTGCAGCAACGTTTTTAATTCTAAAGCTTAAAGCCACACTTTCTCCCTATTTTAAGATCCTAATCACTGGTTCGATCTGGACAAGGACACCCACTGCTGTGACGGGTCTAAACAGTCTCCCATCAACATCAGAACTCAAGGAGCAAAGTGTGCCAAGCTAGGCGGCATCCAGTACGAACCCAAACCACAAGGACAAATATCTGGCAATCTGAAAAGAAATGGTAAGAATTAATATTTATTTATTTATACTACTTATCTAGCGACAACTTTAATTCTGTAATGACCTCTTGTGACGCCACAATATGTTGATATCCAGGTGTATTACTTGTATATCTCCATTCTATTATTATATATACAACGAACAAACAAACACATATTTTCCTGAGAGACATTTTGTGCTGAATTATATATAGAAGCGGTGGAGATGGTGACGTTACTTTCTCGAACACCTGGTGTTCTCGCTATGTGAAAGTGATTCATAAACACATGCTCATGATATAATCGGAATAGACTATGGACAGGGTTTGGCCACTTTTATTTCAAAATGAAACTATTGTGGCGAATGGATTCAGGGTATTTATGAGAACAGGATATAGATAGCATACACTAGATAATCGAGGATGTCTTTCTCAAATCTTTAACACTCATATGACTGCAGGCCATGGTGCGAGTCTTGCCTTCTTCGCAATAAATCGCCTCGTGACGAAGGACATGCCTTTCACTGACGGCGAGTACGTCCTGGACTCAATGCACTTCCACTCTCCCTCGGAACATCTCGTCAACGGCAAGCACTACGATGGGGAGGTAAGGGCACACCAATTCCGATTGTGGTACTTTTAACTATCTTTTCAGAAGTGAAGTGATGGCGATTTCAATGTATTAAGAAAATAAGAAAAGGTCCAAATCCAGTGGGTTAGTCGAGTGGTTTAAACATATTCGTCTCGAAGAATTCCTGTGTCCCATTACCCACATAGCACAATGCATGAAACCTATTTCTGATGTCCGCTGCCGTTATACTATTGAAATATTGCTAAAGATGGTATAAAACAGTAGTCACTCACTCTTCTAATCAAAGGAAGCCTCTTTACCCTGAAAACATTTTCAGAAGTGAAGAGATGGCGATTGCAATTTAGTAAGAAAATAAAAAAGGCTCATTGAAATGACATCAAGTGTTTCATTGAACATTTGCTTGTTCACTTTCTTCACATCGTGATTTGTTTGAATGTTCAATTGACCCTTTTCATAACATACTGTCCAAGTCCAGTGGGCTGCCGAGGGGTTTAAACATACGCTCGTCTCGCCGAATGCGAAAGAACATTTTCAAGAATGTGCCACTTTGTCTGTCCTCATGCTCGTGAATGTCTGGTTCGATTCCCGACATGGGTACAATGTGTGAAGCCCATTTCTGGTGTCCTCCGCCGTGATATTGCTGGAATATTGCTAAAAGCAGAGTAAACCCATACTCACTCACTCACTCGTAAATGTCGGGTTCATCTGTTTCACAATTTTGAACATTTTTATTCACCAATACTGACCGCCAGACCCATTTAATCGCCTGTTACGACCACCATAGGTTGCTTGGGACCTATATTCTTACTCGGAATATCTCTCGATCAGAGATGATATTATACGAGGAGTCAGTAACATGTATCTCCTCGTTTTATTTAATACCAATTTATGCTATGCTAACGCAGATTCCTTTTTTGATTGATTCATGTCATATGTCAGTTTGGGCACATTTATTTTGTGATGCTATATAAGAAACATACATCGTCGTGGTTGTAGTTGCATCTGGTTCACTATAAGAAGGAGTATGGAAGTGTTGGGGCCGCTGTAGGCAAGGAAGACGGCTTGGCTGTCATTGGAGTGTTCCTGGAGGTAAGATGTTTGAAATCCCCCTGGACCATGACAAACTCTGCATGTGTGCATTGTTAGCATCAACTCCGAATAAAAGAAAAAGCATGTTCGTGAAAAGATAAACCTCTGTCTGTGAATGTGCAGGCATGTTGAATTCTAAGGCATGCTTTTCCCAAGTCTCGAAAGTTTGACATTTGGATATGCTCACTTGTCAGCTGGTTGCCCGGTTTGAATATTTTACATTTACTTGATTGGAAAACTGCGCACTGTTTTAGGGGAAAGCTATCGTGTCACTGCATTCTTGTTTTGTATGCATACGCTGTTTGTTTTTTTCCACTGATTTCTTGTTTCAACGTATACTATAGTGTTGTATTATGAGAAATACATACAATATTCCACTCGTCGGCGCATGCCTTCGTCAAATAGATTTTCATATCAAATAAATAAAAGCATTGAAATGTCACCCGGTCCTTTCATTGAAGCAGAGCATATAGTTAATATTCCCATTTAGTATGTTATATATCTAATGGTATTAAAATAATTTGAGGCCAATGTAACTGAAAAAGTAGTGTTATTGTTTGCATCGTGACACAGTCTCATTCCGATAACCTTCCCGCAGGTAATAGGGGAGTCGGAAGATACTGCTTTCAACAGGTTTGTGGATGGAGTGGCGAAACTGAAAGGCGGTAGGTATATGATACAAGGGAAATATTTAGATTTCATCTGGCGTTAATCACGTCTAGCGGTTTGTAAACGGTTTAAGGTGGTTGTATTCAATGGGGCATTTGTAAGGTTTTTTTTAGCGACAATGGTATGAGATTATTCTGAAAGGAATGTAAGCATTTTCTAAAACACATGATGTGTTTGTTTATTCAGCAATATTCCATGTATGTTACATGTAAAGAAGCAATTGAATACACAAACATCAAGTCAACAGCTAATAAAGAGGAATTATAATCAAATATCTATCACTGCATGGGCTAAATCCTTAGTAAACGATTTGTAAGTTTCAAATGGATTTCTCTGAAAATATGTATTCCCGATTTAAAACGTCATAAACAGGCCTTAGCTGTTCCATATCCATATGAACTATATATTATTGTGTTTTTTCCCCTGATCATCTTTCAAAACGTTGCTTAAAGCGTTGGCCCGGGCCGCTGATGACCCGGGTTTAATACTCATGTGGGGAAAGTTTGGAAGCCCATTTCTGGTGTCCTTCGGCGTGATAATCCTGGAGTATTGCTAAAAGACTCGTAAAACCATATTCACTTACCGTCGTGATAATATATTGTGAAACAGAGATGACTGATGACATAGACTTATCTTCTTCAGTATTGTGATGTACGTATGTTGCCATGGTGTAGATGGAGCCGAGGAAATGAGTCTGGACCCCCGCGAGCTGCTGATTCTTGATGACGATTACTTCACCTACAAGGGTTCGCTTACCACCCCGCCCTGTTCGGAGTCTGTCCGATGGGTTGTTATGGAACTGCCTATTCTCACCACAGCAGACAGGGTAAGATTTCTTTTGTTTTGCTTGTTATTTAACGCTTCACACAGCAATATTCCCGCTGTGTGATGCTGACCTGTAAATAATCGAGTACAGAATCAAGGACCAGACAATGATGAACAACGCCTTCGGTGTGCGAGGACATGGAAGTCAACCAAGCCTGACCACCCGATTCAATAAGTCGCCTGACCCGTGGAGATTCCGGGGTAGAATAGGGCTTCAGTAACCCATCCTTGCCGTAAAAGGTGACTATGCTTGTCGTAAAAGGCGACTAAAGGGATCGGTTGTCAAGCTCGATGACTTGGTTAATGCATGTCAATGATCTCAATTGCGTGGCTCGATGCTCATGATATCAATCACTGGATTGTCTGGCCAAGAGTCGATTATTTACAGACCGCCGTCATATAGCTGGAATATTGCTGAGTGCGGCGTTAAACAACAAACCAACCAACCAACCAACAACCAATAAGTCGCCTCTTACCACCAATATATGTTGCTAGGGATCAGTTGTAACCCTGACTCTCCGTGGTGGCGAATGTTCATTTGAAAAATTTCGTTAATTACATAATGGACACGTAACCGTATGGCGTACCATTGGCGTCATTGTATTTACGGGGCGGTCGGGTAGCCTAGTGGTTAAAGCGTTCGCTCGTCACGCCGAAGACCCGGGTTCGAATCCTGACATGGGTACAATGTGTGAAGCCCATTTCTGGTGTCCCCCGCCGTGATATTGCTGGAATATTGCTTAAAGCGGCCCAATGCCAAACTCACTAACTCACTCATTGTATTTACAACTGATCCCTCACAACGTTGTTTCATATTAATCAATATAATTGGAACACTTAAAACATTATTAAACGCCACTCTGTTTTGTCAGAGGTAAACATTGACATTTTATAAGAGATTCATCTTCGAAATCTTTCACTCAGTTACACAGTTCCAAATAGATCTCAACACCGATTGTCCTGTCAATGCGTGAGTGAGGGAGTGAGGTTTGAACAAAATAACAATTATATAACCTTGTGCCAACTGATCTGGAAGGAAAGCCTAAAGTCACGGAGGTCGAAGACATGTACCACGCTGATAATGCTGACAAATGAATGATAACAATCAGGGTTAAAATGGGATTCAGACCCACAACGAGGGGATGGGGGCGTGGTCAAGGGGCGCAACCCGCTCCCAGGACGTCCTGATTAACACATTGATTAACACATTGATAGGCCCCTGTCGCAGGGATCGATACATATCCACACCAGTCGATGGTGATTCTAACTTGATATATTGGTGCTTTCTTGTAGCTTCGCGTGCTGAGGGATGTTCCAGTCAGTGACGGTAAACCCCTCTACGTTGATACAAACGTCAGACCACATCAACCGCTCAACGGCCGCCCCGTCTACCTCTCATGCTGATGGACACGACGTCTGTGTATTGGAACGACAGCTTATACCGACCATTGAATTATTCATAATCATGTACCCAGCTCAAATAAAAAACTGTCACGAACAATGAACACGTGTTTCTCTATTCTGTTTAACAAGAACCAGCATGGTCATACGACGTTGGCAACTGTGCTTGTCGTAAGAGGCGACTAACGGGATCGAGTGGTTAGGCTCGCTGACTTGGTTGATGCATGTCATCGATCCCAACATGTGTCAATCACTGGATTGTGTGGCCCAGACTCGATTATTTACAGACCGACGTCATATAGCTGGAATATTTCTGAGTGCGGCGTTAAACAACGAACAAACAAAGCAACGTGGAAACATGGTGACCTCATAATTCATTTGCGTTGCTCGATGCTCAAGGTGCCTGGTCCAGACTCATTTAAAACATCGCCGACATAGGAGACTAAATGGATTGGTTGTCAGGATCGGTGACCTGGTTGATTGTATGTTATCATATACCGGTTGCTTCCAATCTGTGTTCATGGTGGCATTGACTGGATTGTCTGGCCCTGACTCTATTTTTTATAGAGCGCCGTATATATCTCGTTTTTCTCTATTCTGTTTAACAAGAACCAGCCTTGTTATACAACGTGGATGCATGGTGACCCCATCATGACTCATTTGCGTGCCTCAATGCTCATGGTGTCAGTCGCTTTATTGTCTAGTCCAGACTCATTTAACTAAATGGATTGGTTGTCAGGATCGGTGACCTTGTTGATTGTATGTCATCATATACCAGTTGCTTACATCGGTGTTCATAGTGGCATTGACAGGATTGTTTGGTCCAGACTCGAATAGTTATAGAACGCCGTAATATATCAAGATGATTGTTGATTTCGGCGTCAAAAAACAACTTTTGAGTCGTATTACGCTCTATGAAATTTTCGTGAGAAAGAGCATGCACAACTGCTCCTTAAAATTTGTGAAATGTAGACACTAAAGGCTGGAGCTGCTGGAATATACGCTCCATGCAGGGAAGGGCTTCATGGTCACTGAATTTGTATGCAAAAAGCTAAACACGAAACAGATGGGGCGGTTTCACTGGTCTCTTTTCTTTCTTGCCTCGGTGAGTCCGTTGTTAAAGTTTGGGCAACAGAGCAAGTTCAATGATCAAAGCATTACCAAAAGGTATATTTTACAGGCTCTTCCAGAAGTTGAAGGCTTTAACTGTTCAATGTATTCTTACGACCACATGTAAATGAGTGAGTGGGATTTAACGCCGCTTTAAACAGCTTTTCCAGTTTTGTCAGGGTGTGTCAGTTTAATGTGGGAGGAGGAATGCCAGAAGTGATGCAGGTCCCAGACGTTGACCACTTTGGTGAAACCCACAAGATCGAGTATGGTGCTGACACACCTGGAAACATAATCAGGACTAGGTCATAATCATAGGCGTCTGACGTGCCCGAGGGACGCATCTCTGAAAAGAGAGTTAAGGCGTCTTAGGCGACTGGCCCTACCCGTGCCCCACATGTAAATGATCTTGAAGCTCATTTTATGACAACCATCAAACAACATACTTCACAACAAGATCTCTGGGTTGAGGGGTTGGTGAATGTACATATTTGGCACAGAACATTAAAAATGAACTTGACAAATATTTACCGCAGCACACGACATCAAGCAATCTAAACATCGGGAGAAACACTAATGACTATACCTCTTCTGTAGGTAGAGTTTGGAAACATTTACCCACGTTTTGAAAACACCTGCTGAAACATGAGTCGACGGTGTATGTTTGTTTGGTGTTTTTAACGCCGCAATCAGCAATATGCCAGCAACATGATCATAACCAAACACACCGGTGACTAATATTATGAGCAACGATTAACGCCGTAGGGGTACGATGACAAGCGATCACGGAGTCTTTGAATGGCATATGATACACATAGAGAAGAGAATATATGGATGTCACTTCTTTTTTATGAAGAAAATAATCCTCACAATGAAGAAGTTGACATCCGTAAATTCTCTTCCTCAAGTCACCAAGCCCAGCTGCAGCTATCTTATGCATTAAGTCGTCTCTTACGACCAACAAGGCTGCTTGGGAACATATTCTAACAAGGAACCATCACGGAGCGTTAGTTCAAGGACACTGTTTCTCCCGAAACTCTTGTCTCAAGTAGTGGTTGAATGGAGTTTAACGTCAATTGACTGAAACGATCGTAAAATATCGAGGGCTGTAGTTTCTAGAAGGCTGGCTGTACAAGAAAAACACGGGGGTGATGAGTGGCCTTACGATATACTTGCCAAGGGAGGACGGGGTACCTACTTGAAAACAAAGAATTCCTACCAGCTTGCAACATTCTTCCGGATTCACAATCAAAAGTGACAATATTCTGAACATTCATGAATACACCGGCGTTTTACTTATTGGGCCTTTTACTAGTTACTGCTCCCTCTTGTTTGACCTATTGTGATGTCTTTCGTGATTGTGAACCTGAAAATGTAAAATTATTTGTTGACAACTCATTGATCTTATGTTTTCATTTTCTAATTTAACTGTTTTGTTTTGTACCCGACTTCTGAGTTAACATTGCTTTTCAATTTGAAAATCACAACGAGATATTAATAATGACAATACTTATGATATAATCGTTCATACAAAAATATGCATACTTTGTCTTGACGTTGAAGTCATGTACGCTGCACAACGCCATTATCAAGACCTTTTATGAACCTATCAATAGTTCAAACATCGTGTTAATATTTGTAACGCATCCTGATCAGGGCGTTGTAAGGATACCAATAAACTACATGGCTCGCGTTTCAGTCTGAACAGGGAGACTCCCGTTTCAGTCTGAACAGGGAGACTCCCGTTTCAGTCTGAACATGATGGCTCGCGTTTCAGTCTGAACATGATGGCTCGCGTTTCAGCCTGAACAGGGTGGCTCCCGTTTCAGTCTGAACATGATGGCTCGCGTTTCAGTCTGAACAGGATGGCTCGCCGTTCAGTCTGAACAGGGTGGCTCCCGTTTCAGTCTGAACACGATGGCTCGCGTTTCAATCTGAACATGATGGCTCGCGTTTCAGTCTGAACAGGATGGCTCGCGTTTCAGTCTGAACATGATGGCTCGAGTTTCAGTCTGAACATGATGGCTCGCGTTTCAGTCTGAACATGATGGCTCGCGTTTCAGTCTGAACAGGATGGCTTGCGTTTCAGTCTGAACAGGATGGCTCGCGTTTCAGTCTGAACATGATGGCTCGAGTTTCAGTCTGAACATGATGGTTCGCGTTTCAGTCTGAACATGATGGCTCGCGTTTCAATCTGAACATGATGGCTCGCGTTTCATGGCTCGTCTGAACAGGGTGGCTCGCGTTTCAGTCTGAACAGGATGGCTCGCGTTCCAGCCTGAACAGGGTGGCTCGCGTTTCGGTCTGAATATGACGGCTCGCGTTTCAGTCTGAACATGATGTCTCGCGTTTCAGCCTGAATATGATGGCTCGCGTTTCAGTCTGAACATGATGGCTCGCGTTTCAGTCTGAACATGATGGCTCCAACTGGGGGGCTATCTGGTTCTGTCTCAATGCAAATTTTTTTACTGAAGGAAAACCGAAATTGAAAGGTAAATAAGGACTGAAAGAAACCGTTCGGTGTTTACGTTGTGTATACCCTTTGCGTGATTCTGAACAGTATCGACTTTGGCTTCGTGTGGCAGAAGTGGATTACATGATTACAAATTCAGTAGAATAGGTCTTCAGCAACCCATGCTTGCTGTAAAAGGCGACTATGCTTGTCATGAGAGGAGACTAACGGGATCGGGTGATCAGGCTCGCTGACTTGGTTGACGCACGTTATCGTACCCCAATTGCGTGGATCGGTGCTCATCATGTCAATCACTTGATTTTCTGGTCCAGACTCGATTATTTACAGACCGCCGTCATATAGCTGGAATATTGCTGAGTTCGGCGTTAAACAACAAACAAACAAACCATTTCAGTCTTTAAACTTCGTATCACGCCGGTAAATACACCTTAGCAGTAGCGTTACACATCTAACACGCTGGGGGCGGTCGGGTAGCCACGTGGTTAAAACGTTCGCTCGTCACGCCGAAGACCCGGGTTCGATTCCCGACATGGGTAAAATGTGTGAAGACCATTTCTGGTGTCCCCTACCGTGATATTGCTGGAATATTGCTAAAAGCGGCGTAAAACCATACTCACTCACTCACTCACTCGTACACGCCTGCACAATACACGTCCGAGCCTTAATACTCACCTTTCCAAAGATTATTTTCCCTAACAAAATCTGTCCACCCCAAAATTTGCATACTATGATAACCATTACTTTCGAAATAAACGGAACGCTAAATGCCAAACATTTCACTACAAAGTCGTTGTTTTTGTTTTTATAGCATCTTTATTACATCATGATTCCACGTTTTCACAACCCAGCACAAAACCGCGTGGACAGGCGTATCACGGGATGTTCTTTCCATGTTAAAAGTGAATAAAATATACGTTTATAATTGATATCAAGTACAGGTTTTAGTTTGGAAGCAATGGGTGACTTGATGTACTATATATATATTTGACCAGTTTTCGTTGAAATGTAATTATGATACAGTCAAACACCGTTTTTGAAGTGATGCTTACTTCGAGTTATCCGAGTTTGACAAAGCCGAAAAATGATTGACTATGCAGCTTATACTTCGAGACAACTGAAAGTTCGACACATCAAACTATGCAATTATGATATATCCAAATTGAATGTAAAAAAATAAACGTTTGGAAATCTTCTCGCCTAGAAAACCATTTTGTTGTATACAATGGGATTATTCGGAAGACCAAAAACGTATTATTGAATAGAAAAGGTATTTATGATGACGAATGGAATACAGGTATGATCCGTATCAGACAATTATTCATTAAGGAGGGACAGTTTTACCAACGTGAAACGATGTCCAAAAGATATGGTATGAATTTAACAACTAGAAAATATAATTTGAATGTGGATGCAGTAAGGATAGCTTTTCACTACAGAGTTAGATTAAACTGGAACTAGTTCTATAATCTACGCCCCTAGCCAGAAAAACAAGTTACGCTTTAATTAGATTTCAATACTGGTTAAATTTTTGAAAACCGGTATTCGTTATATAATAATAATAATCCCAAACAAAACCCTTAAATGTTAAGGCACTAAGGGCTTAATTTGGAAACGTGTTCCTACTTCAACGATAGAGAATACGTTTCGTCCCTCAGTCCATGAAAACCATTTCTATGTCATTCCAATTGACACAATATTCGCGTATACAATTTGAGTGCACGAGTGTAAGTTTATTTGAGTAAATGATAGGGTAATAGACCGGCTACCTGTACGTACTAATACTTGCTGATCCCATATAAAGTTTGATAAAAGATCAGTTTGTTGATACACGTCAAAATGCATTGCCATATGGTGACAGATAACAACATAACGAACGTAGGGGAAGCAGGTTTTGTACTTGTCATATGCAGGTCTGGTGCAGCCAGGAAGCTGTAATCATTTTCCAAACTGCTCACATTTCTATTTTCATAATTTTAATAAACTAATGAAATTTGAGTTAGCTGCACCAGGATAACACGGACTTAAGATTACATAGTTACTGAGTTGAGTGAATGAGTTAGTATAGTTTTACGCCGCTTTTAGCAACATTCCAGCAATATCACGGCAGGGGACACAAGAAATGGGCTTCACGCATTGTACCTACCCATGTCGGGAATCGAACCCGGGTCTTCGGCGTGACAAGCGAACGCTTTAACCACTAGGCTACCCGACCACCCAACATAGTTACAGAGCTGAGGTTCCTTTCGTCTCCACGGATGGTTGACATTTTCTTCTTTTATGACACGGGACTGGTGGGGTGGCCAAGTGGTTAAAGTGTTTGCTCGTCCGGGGAAGACTCGGGTTCGATTCCCACCCAACATGGTGCAAAGTATGCAGTCCTATATTGGAATATTGTCAAAAGCGTCGTTACAAAATATTCCCCACACTCCTAAGAGTGAGTGAGTGAGTGAGTGAGTGAGTGATGTTTAATGCCGCTTTTAACAGTATTCCAGTTATATCACAGCGTGTCAGCTTAATGCGTGAGGAAAGCCCAAAGTGATGCAGATCTTAGACGTTTTCCACTTCGATGAAACCCACGACCATGGGTATGGTGCTGACAAACCCTAGAAACATAATCGGGGCGAATCAGGATTCGAACCCACAATCAAAGGTTTCTGGCGTGCCCAAGGGACGCGACTCTGCACAGCGAATTGCGGCGCCTAAGACAACTGGGCCACCCTATGACACAGTGATAACTAAAGACACGTTGAACTCTTTATCATTTAACACCCTATCATTTTCGCAAGTACGATGTCAGTGCAGCGTAAGGAACATTTCATCTGTCCTGTAAACACTACACCGTTTAGATTCCAGGTTGGAGTAGGTCTCCATCAACTTTTCCTTGTAAGTCGCGACTAGCTGGATCGGATGGTCAGGCTCGGTAAGTTGCGGTCATCGTACCCCTAAGACGTAGGGCGATGCTCATAATATCGTCAAATAAATGATAGCTGCAATATGGTTGTGGAAGACATTAAACAATAAAAACAGAAGAAATATAATCAAAATAATGGTAGAGGAATCCATTAGACTAGTTGGAATTACTGGATTGGCTTCCTGAAGAAGTGTATATCAACATAACTTATGCTTATAAGAAGTGGATCTGGTGATCGGTGACTTGGCTGCTTGGATCTCATCGTATCCCAGTTGCGTGCCCATGCTGTCAATCACTTGATTGTCTTGTCATCATTTACAGACCGCCTTCCTATTGCTGAAAAACTTTTGTTTGCTTGTTTATTTGTTGTTTAACGCCGCACTCCAGCAATGTTCCAGCTATATGACGGCGATCTGTAAATAATCGGGTCTGGACAAGACAATCCAGTGATTGACATCATGAGCATCGATCTACGCAATTGGGAAACGATGACATGCATCAACCAAGTCAACGAGCCTGACCACTAGATCCCGTTAGTCGCCTATAACGACAAGTATAGTCGCCTTTTGCAGCAAGCATGGGTTGCTGAAGACCTATTCTACCCCGGATCTTCACGGGTCGCTTGAATACTGCTGAGTGCGGCCTCAAGGATTAAGGGTGGCCCAGTCGTCTAAGGCGCCGCGATTCGCTGTGCAGAGTTGCGTCCCTTGGGCACGCCAGAAACCTATAATTGTGGGTTCGAATCCCGATTCGCCCCGATTATGTTTCTAGGTTTGTCAGCACCATACCCGTGCTCGTGGGTTTCACCGAAATGGTAAACGTCTGAGACCTGCATCACTTCGGGCTTTCCTCCCACATTAAGCTGACACGCCGTGATATAACTGGAATACTGTTAAAAGCGGCGTTAAACCAAACTCACTCACTCAAGGAATAACATACAACATGTCATCACAAGGACTACGTACTAAAAGGAAACGAGTTTCTTCCACAAAATGTTTGACGCTTTTCTTATATGATCTCTTATAATATGTTACATATGTATTATCTACAAATATTGTTCATATACGTTTATGTTAATTTTGCACGAAGAGAAAGATACAATCAAAACGGCTTTATTGATTAAACTAACATTTTATTAGTTGAGTATCTTTGTAATCTACGCAACTGCAGTCACGGGTTTTAAACCCACCTGTTGAATAGGTGGTATTAGTTTCTAACATCCTACTACTTATAGGTATGCTCGCCCCATGCTATTCCATCCCGCAGACACTGACGAAGAAAGATGCTGATTTCGATTGTTGTCGTGGTTGTTGCAGCCAACGTCTACGTGGCTGCCGAAGATGCTCTGTGTCCCATCCCAAGGCACCATATACACTTCGGCTACCATGAAGGTTCGGGGGATGGTGAGTTACATTTATCGACAGTCGTAAATCCTCAGTCACACAGACAATGCGACCGCGATGCAACCTCTTGGCGACTGATTTCCTTTGCGATCGCTGAGACCGGTGCAACTACTTCTGCCAATATTTGGAATTAGGGTATGATCGCAGATCAATCAGCCATAGGTTTTGCAACTTGTCAGTGATTGACCGGCAACTGTTCACCGCAGGTACGCCGAAATGTTTGCAACTGGTTGAGACCGATCGATGACCAGTCTGCGAATCTTCGGTGACTTGTTGCAACTGAACGGGGACTGGTCCGTGACTAGTTGTCGATCGAGACCTTGTAGCGACCTCAGTGATACCTTTCAGAGACCACTGAAACCTTATTGTGATTGTCAAATATTTTGGTCGCCAGGAGGTTGCATCGCGGTCGCATTGTCTGTGTGACTGAAGCTTAAGGTCTTACAAATAGTTCATTGTTTCAACCACGTTTTGGTTGGCAAGTTGCTGTTGAAAATCATTGCTGAATGAACATGGGTATGTTTTGCCCCAGCTGACCTCTACCTTTAATTGAACTCGTTCTGTCCAAATAAATTTGACAATACTCATTCATAATCATAAGAAATCTCTGCTTTCACCTTAATACTTTTCCGTTTATCCATAAGCATGTATTTATGAATCACTATCAAATTGTGTTGAAAGTGTTCGCGAAAAAGTGAGCGTATCCTGCACAAGCGGTGGTTCCGTCACAAACACATGCAAAGGCAAGTCAAGTGTTCACCTGAAAGGAAACCAAACACGGGAACATCTATTTTGTCAATGTCAGGTCAGATTTGGATGTCTTTCACATGTCCTACATAAAACTTTCTGAAAGCTTTATTAAGACCTTGAATGCGTCAACCTGATCAAACATCGTTTGATCAAGAGTCGTATGTCGCCCTTTGATATCTTCGAACAAAGAGCATGAGAAATGTAGACACCAAAGCTTGAAGCTGAAGGAATATTGCTCGGCAACGGGAAAGTTGACTATTGGAAAGTTGTAGCCACCCCTCTTGTCATACAGACTTGTGCATCATTTTTTGTCACTCTTCCCCTTTGGTTGACTTTCCGCTGGGAAAAGGATGTTGCCTACTGATTCTTACCATTAAGAAATCCTTGATTCTTACCATTAAGAAATCCTTGATTCTTACCATTGAGAAATCCTTGATTCTTACCATTAAGAAATCCTTGATTCTTACCATTAAGAAATCCTTGATTCTTATCATTAAGAAATCCCTGATTCTTACCATTAAGAAATCCTTGATTCTTACCATTGAGAAATCCTTGATTCTTACCATTAAGAAATCCTTGATTCTTACCATTAAGAAATCCTTGATTCTTATCATTAAGAAATCCTATGTTTTTACCTCTTCAGGGAAGACTAAAGTATGCCTACAGTATGTGTAGAAATTACAATATATAATATAGTATGAGAGGATCAAGTAAACCTAACGGTTATATCATGACGTCCTTTGGTGATAAATGCAATATAAAATAGCTGATCCTTAATTTTACAGTTGTTATGTAATGTGGCATGAGAAAGCGAATGTTTATGTTTATCGAAGCAGGGTATTTACTGGTACACCTTTGCTGTTGATCATGAACTTCAGTATCAAAACAGGAGTTGTCTCCTCCTTTTGCAATGGATCGATGACAGACGCTACTCTTCAAGACTGAAAGAGGAATTTGAATACGATTATAGCCACTTTCATTCTAAATATCTAGTATTGTTTACCTAAAATTAATGTACTAGGGAACGGACCATTTAATATTCTCTTCGGGTGAAGGTAGGGATGGGGGATATTTTCAACCCCTTATTGGAGGATCGGTCCTATATAAACTCCTTGCCAAGGGGCCCGGCAATTAACAGAAGTAGGCTCCTAGCTGTATTACACAAGAATCTAAAGTAAACTCTACAATGTACGATAACGGACAAGCTATTAGTGGCACTTGCATATACATCTCTCCAGACCGAATCAATTGAGATGCAGCTTATTCCTATTATTGAAATTCAGCACTGACCAAGCAGCTGGGTTATCTCGTAATCTCAAAAGTATATTTAGCTTACTGGGTGGCCCAGTCGTTTCAGGATCCGCAGTTCGTCATGCAGAGCTGCTACTTTTAGGCGTGGTAGAAACCTGTGATATTGGAATCGAATCCCAGATGTGTTCTCCGTCCATCATGTTGTGACAGTATCACCCTTCTGTTGTCATTACTTACTCATGTTATCCCACTCATGTATGTATTTGTTACTCCTGTTAATCCTCTACTGTTAATCCTCCACCTACTATATATATTCTGTACAATGTTCCTCATTCAGTCTTGCTTGACAACGGTATAAGGCTCTATACGGAAAGGTCACCTTTACAGTAAATAAAGAAGTTGTTATCCATAAATTGTGTCTACTTTGTCATCCGTCAACTTCAAAGCAATGCCTATCTAACAATTGAATCCCTGATTCGCCATGAATTCGTTCTTGGTTTGTCAGAACTGTATCCCTCCACGCTCGTGGATTCATCAAATATGTAAACGTCTGAGATCTGCATCCCGTCTAAGATCCTACCACAGTCAGTTGACATTTAACTGAAATACCCAATATTTTGTTCCAGATCCTTCTCACTGGCACGATCTGGACACCGACACCCGCTGCTGTGACGGGTCCCAGCAGTCTCCCATTGACATCGAGAGTGACGACGCGACATGCCACCCTCTGGGCGGCATCGAATATGAACCAAAAGGAGCTGTGTCTGGGAATTTAAAAATGAATGGTAATATTTTAAATTTATTTACAAGTATTGGTTACAAATACCTAACACCTGGACCTTTCATCAACTTAGGTTTGCATAGTAACATTCTTAAGACTATTCTTATTCTTATTCTTATTCTTATTCTTATTTGAACTGTATTCATCAGAGAAACTAAGCGTTCCTCAACGAATTTCTCGTTTTCAAATATCAGCCATGTTAATACTATATTTATGCTATAACTTTCAAAATGATTTCGTACGGTTTTGCTCAGTTTTTAAATCATACAGACCCGGTGGTTCATAAATGCTCTCACCATACCCAGGCCATTATAGGTGATCGTTACAATTAAAATGGTCAGAGATGAATTGCATCTGATATATTTAGTTTCCACATATTTGTGCGAAGAACCCTTTGTTGGGTCCAAATGTCTGCTAGAATTCCGAGTTAGAATAGGTCCCAGCAATGTTAGAGTGAGTGAGTGAGTTGGGTTTAACGCCGCTTTTAACATTATTCCAGTTATATCACAGCGGGTCAGATTAATGTGGGAAGAAAGCCCGAAGTGATGCAGGTCTCAGATGTTTACCACTTAGGTGAAACCCACGATCACGGGTATGGTGCTGACAAACCTAGAAACATAATCGAGGCAAACCGGGATTGGAGCCCACAATCATAGGTTTCTGGCGTGCCCAAGAGACGCAACTCTGCACAGCGAATAGCGGCGCCTTAGACGACTGGATGTTAGACGATCAAATGGATCAGGTTTTCAGGCTCGGAGACCTGGTTGATTGCGTGTCAGTGTATGCTGGCGGCGTGGATCGTTGCCAACAATATCATAATCACTTTATTGTCTGGCCCAGACACGATTATTTACAGGCCGCTGTCATATAGCTGGAACATAGCTCAGTGCAGCGTTAAATGACAAACAAATTAAAATATCATTTTTCCTCCTGCAAAGTCTTCTGCGCTTAATATCTGGATTTACTTTACGTGCAGGTAACGATTTGCTGGTGAGCTGTTTGAAGTTGAAGTATGTGTCAATCTTACCTCAGTCATGTTGGAAAAAAACCTATAATTTCTTTCGTTTTCTGACACTTGTGTAGATGTCAACGAGATATTTTAGTGTAATGGTTTAAACTAATCTCTTTGATCTTTTCGTTTTATTGCAGGCCATGGCGCGAGTCTTGCCTTCTTCAAAAATGAACGTCTCGTGACGGAGGACATGCCTTTCACTGACGGCGAGTACGTCCTGGACTCAATGCACTTCCACTCTCCCTCGGAACATCTCGTCGACGGCAAGCACTACGATGGGGAGGTATGGCTATAATAAATTATTTACCAATCGGAATATTTCGTCAATTGAGAGGAACTTGTAGTGAATGACTATTTCATGAAACAAACGAAAAAGAAACATAACATTTCTTTTGGTTACAGTAGCTTTTTGACCCATATTGTTCATTTTGTTCTCAAAAAGAAAGGGACTCCATAGCGCCTATTTACTTCATTTAGTGTGCTATAACTTAAAAAAAACGTCGTCTTCCTTGCGGTTGTAGTTGCATATGGTTCACTACAAGAAGGAGTATGGGAGTGTTGGGTCGGCTGTCGACAAGGAAGACGGCTTGGCTGTCGTTGGAGTGTTCCTGGAGGTAAGGGGACTCAGATCCCTTTTCTCGCCTTTTAAAGCTACCCTTAAACAAGCGCCTCCGTGGTCTAGTGGTAGAGCGTCCGCCCGGAGAGCGGAAGGTCCGGGGTTCGATCCCCGAACGCGTCATACCAAAAGACGTTAAAAGATGGTACTTGTTGTTACCCTGTCTGGCGCTCGGCATTAAGGGACTAAAACAAGGACTGGTCGGCTCGGAGTCAGTATACTGTGTCTTAATGGGGTATTTATGTTGCATGGTATCTCAGTGAGCTAGCACTATAAATCGGCATCAGTCCGGACTAGTACAAGCAGCCACACACACGTGCATGCACGTCGCTATATAAGTGCAATAATCTTGGACGCGACGTTAAACCCCATTTCACCTCACCTCACCCTTGAACAAGAAAACGTCTTGGTCGCATGATGTTGTTACCCTGTCTGGCGCTCGGCATTAAGGGGCTAAAACCTGGTCGGCACGGATTCAGTATACTGTCGGGTTTTCATGTTAATCTGTCGCATGGTATCTCAGTGAGCTAGCACTATAAAATCGTCATTAGTCCGGATTAGTACAAGCAGCTACACACACACGTGCATGCACGTCGCTATATGAGTGCTATTATCTTTAACGCGATGTTAAACCCCATTTCACCTCACCTCTTGGTCGTCTGAATATATAGACTATTAACATAAGCTCAGAAAACAAGACTGATGCCATGAAAAAAACTATCCACCAGTGCGTGTGAAAGTTACCGGGCCTAACACGATTTTCTCCGGATTTTAACTTGACATTATGAAGTTTATATGATTTCTTTATATAATATTTGTCTGTTAAATGTAGTTTGTTGGTATGGACGAACTGTGCCTTCCAACTCTGCCTTTAATAGCCTATCCTGCATTTTGTTCCAGCAATCAATTCATTACCTGTTTCTTTAAACTAATATGAAGGGGCTATGTATGTCACATATAAGTGCAATAATCTTGGACGCGACGTTTAACCCAATTTCACCTCACCTCGCCATCATTGTACCAATGTAACCTATGATGTAGCTGGGCATTTCGTAAATACACAATGAAACTGATTGCCTTATTTTTTTCGTGGAGTTCAACGGTCGCAGCAGTGGAAGTAGAAGTGGTGATCCGCGCAGGCAGAGATCGGCTTAATGTTGTTTGTTAGTGGATTTATAAAAAAAGTCTTCATATACTAAAAGCGGTATATATCTGTGTAGCTTAAGTCTGTTATTTGCCCCGCCTTTCTTGAATCGTATGTTAAAGGACGAGGTAGGATAAAGGTCCTTATCGGCCCACTGGACATCATGAGCATCGATCCACGCAATTGCAGCCATGTAGTTGACGACCTAGAGTGACCTCATCTTTACAAGACAGAAAACTGTGTCGGTGTCCCAGTATAAACTCCCCCCCCCCCCCCCCCGGGATGTTATACCGGTACAGATTCTACCCCTGAGAATCTGTTCTGAAATAAAATCTCCCCCGGGCGGATTTATTTCGCGCCCCCCTCAGTATAAAGTCTCCCCCCTGATTATTCGGTTTGTTGCAATGTCTTTAAGTACTATATTCTTTAAATAGTTATCTTTCTAATACAGTTGTTGTTGTCTGTATACATTTTTTAACATACCAGTTTGAGTCTACATGTGAACACAATCGATGGTTGAAATGTTAGTCTAAGAACAAAACATGAACTAATTCTCAAGAACTCTGATGTATAAAGTTACCTTCATCTTTGATTGACTGATGTATTTTCAATCTTTATTCAGCACTGAAGAGGCCATGGGCCTATGGTACGAAGCATTAAGTTTATGAATAATCAGCATTGATTTTGACTCCATAAACTGTCATAAAGTATTCATAAAGTATCAGGGGTCATTTCAACTTGCATAATGTTTGACATAGTCCTTTATAGAGCGAGGATTTGGCTGTTTTCCCACCCGATTGACTGATATTACAACATTCACATGGTTTAAAATGGTACAATGAATGGTAAAGCATTATATCTAACGACTAGTATTATATCTACCTATTTACCACTTTATTGTCTCATATTGCGGTAGTTAAAAGAAAACACAGTGCTCAAAGTAAAGCCCTATTCACTCCACATTCTCAACATCGTCTCTATCAGAAGTGTTTGGCAACTATTGAACTGCATGGCAAGTATTTATAAAACGAACGGGGGAGGAAATATTCTGGGGGGAGATAATATTTCGTAGGGTGGGGGAGAGTTTATTTCGAGAGGGGCGGAACTGTACCGGTATAAATTCGCCGGGGGGAGATTTTATTCTGGGGGCGAATATATTTCGTGACACCGGCAATACCCGCAGAACAGAATACCTTTAAGTGGCATTTTAGAAGCTGTAGTAACAGATGTGGCATCTTTATGCAGGAGATGAGTTGCCGATGATGATCCAATTTGTGGACACGTCCACAAGTGCTTCAATAGAATGTTGTTAATTTGCAGTTCAGTATAGAGTGAGTGAGTGAGAATGGTTTTACGCCGCTTTTAGAAATATTCCACCAATATCACGACGGAGACACCACAAATGTGCTTCACGTTCAGTAGAAAATAAACAATGATGGATTAACTCTCATACCAGAAAATTAAATCAATTCACATGGGATAGATACTTTCTCTCTAAATAATGATTATACCAGTTGAGAAGCAGTTAACCAAAGTGTAACCGTTCATAACCGACGGCCTCCTTAACCTTTCCTAGGTGACATGTGAGTCGCAGGATCATGCCTTCAACAGGTTCGTGGATGGAGTGGCGCATCTGAAAGTCGGTAAGTATATCAACATGTCCACTCAAAACATACATAAAACTCTGTAACCTTGAAACTCTCATCAATTGTACCCGACGGTTGAAACGTCCTGTAAGTGAATAATCTTCTGCCACGCCCACATTTAACTTTAGTTTGGGCTGTGTCCGGGGGGGGGGGGGGGGGGGGGGGGAGCGTTTGAAACGTTGTTAGGAACTATCGTGTGAAGATGACAAGATTGTTTTGTTAGTTTGTATGTTGTTTATCGCCGCGCTCAGCAATATTTCAGCTATATGACGGCTATCTGTAAATAATCGATTCTGGACCCGATAATCCAATGACTGACATCATTAGCATCGATCCACGCAATTTGGAAACGATGACATCCATGGACCAAGTCAGCAAGCCTGACCACCCGATCCCTTTAGTCGCCTCTTACGACAGGCATAGTCGCCTTTTACGGCAAGCATGGGTAGCTGAAGACGATGACATGAGCTTGTTACAGAATAATGAATGTGAGCAATACCTTTATAAGTACAAAAAGTATATTGCTTAATTACTGACAAGTTCAAGCGAGAATCACCAGTCTCGATTATCAGACGAAACAGATTCCATTGGGCATAATAGGGGTGAAAGTAATATGAATGGATCCCTGAAAATCAGTGATGACACTAGGTGTTTGCGAAATGTTTCTGAATAATATAAATGATGCATGCAAACGTAAAAGCGCCAATGAAGCAATAAATGGCTACCTGCTTAGTCGTTTTAAACTTTATACTATACAATAATTATTTGATCGTCAATACTTCCTGGGTTTATATTCGTAGTGTATACAAATTTGGGAAGTATTATTGATGTACTTATTCTTGAATTTATTTTGAATGTTAAGGCATCATATTTACAGAGATCGTATATGTAACAATACATGAACATTGTAAAGGCACTAAAATGAGTGATATCTTATCTTTTATTTAGTTCACATTCATTATTTATTTCATTTTTATTATTTATTTACAATACATTATGTCAGTACATGTAGACAGATATAAATTAACTGACAAACAGTTCGGTCTCGAGATGTTGATTCGTTGTATCTGTGTTTCAAATTGAGTCCCCTGCGTGATAATGAGTTATTATTTTCTGAATTTATGTTTCACCAGGTCTCTTACAAGTGACACTTCCGTATGCATGCCTTAATGGGTGTTGTTTTTTTATTAACTATGAAAACGGACATGCTTTCGGGGATCACCTGTATGTATATTTGAAACAACAAACAATCCTGTTCTATACATTTTGATGAAAAGTAGATAATTAATTAATGAAGTATAACGATAGTATGTGACAGTCTTTTAGAAATGACTGATGATAAAGACTGATCTTCCTCAGTATTGTATGGTAGTTTTGTTGCTATGGTATAGGTGAAGCTGAGAATGTGACTCTGGACCCAAGCGAGCTGCTGCTGCTTGATGACGATTACTACACGTACAAGGGTTCGCTTACCACCCCGCCCTGTTCGGAGTCTGTCCGATGGGTTCTTATGGTTTTGCCTGTTCTCACCACAGAGGATAGGGTAAGAACTTGCGGCATACGTTGTTTCAGGGTGAAATCATATTTCGTACAAATCGCCCACAGGAAATCATGATACTTGGAATCCGTACGTATTTGATAAATATATAAGTTATATCTTTCTATACTGACTGATTGGACAATCAGAGGTTTCAAATAATATTTGTAGGTATCAAATGAAACCGGAATGAATTAGTCTGTAAATGTAATCTAGCTTTAAGCTACTGAACGCGCCATAACTCGAAATATGTAGATTGCATCGTGGTAATTACTTTCCGTCGTGTTGTATTGAAGCATCACTGAAGACCAGAATGATCCTAATCCTGTATATCGTTTCTTCCTTAGATCCGCGTGCTGAGGGCTGTTCCAGTTGCCGACGGCGAACCACTTTCGGTCGACACAAACGACAGACCAGCCCAACCGCTGAACAACCGCACCGTTTATCTTTCCTGCTGATAAACACGTACATGTATAAATGTTTCAAAGACAGAATATATTGGCTATGAAACAAACCGTGAATGCTTGTGACCACCAGTTGGAATGACTCCACACAGTCATCGACATACGATACGAGGGTCTGGTACCCCGCTGTCATAATAGGCCCAGTAGGCGATGGGGTTGCCTAGTTCGATTCCCAATTTGGTACAATATGTGAAGCCCACACCTAACCTATTATCTTATCCTCCGCGTGGGGGGAGGAGATCCATCAATTTGGATCTCTTCCATAATAGATTGCCTGTGGTCCTGTAAACCGGCAACAGGGATTTGTAACGAATATATTAAGGAGAACTGACGCCAGTGAAGCTAGTTAATACTGCCACAGACCCGTGAAGATTCCGGGGTAGAATAGGTCTTCAGCAACCCATGCTTGCCGTAAAAGGCGACTTTGCTTGTCGTAAAAGGCGACTAACGGGATCGGGTGGTCAGGCTCGCTGACTTGGTTGATACATGTCATCGATCCCAATTGCGTGGATCGATGCTCATGATGTCAATCACTGGATTGTCTGGCCCAGACTCGATTATTTTACAGACCGCCATCATATAGCTGGAACATTGCTGCGTGCGGCCTTAAACAACAAACCAACAACAACAACTTAATTGTACCTATCTACTACTAGTTGTCATCTTCTGTGGAGTGCTTTTATTCAATGAAAGTACCACGTTTCAAGCTCTATTGGTCAAACATATAATGTATGGTCAAACAAACAAATAATACTGCCATAAATAAGCAGACGCTGTATATAAGGACTGGATGCATTGATGTTAAAGGCTGACGACGATCTTGATTTTGATCTCGATCGTGATTAAAAGTAGAAGAATGTCTCGCATCTGAACACGTCAGGTAAATCAATACGGGTAATCTGTTGGTGGAACGACGTCAGTTAAACTGTCTCTGACGTACTGAACAACAGATATTGCCATCTTCATTTATTTGAAACAATGCGTTCATATGACGTCAAGTTGCCTCCAAAACAACGAAAACAATCGCGAAACAATTTCCGTGAACTAACCTATCAGCGTGAAGCAAAATGTATGATGGTCAGTGAAAATTACTGAACATAATTTCTCCGATATCTTTGCCCCTTTGAGTAATATATTATATGATTGTTTCGGCCACCAAACGCAGGGCTCTTTCTATATAAGTCTCTGCTCCTCCCAATAAGAAAAACTTAAAAATTCACATAACTCATATTTAGCAATATTCCAGTATTATCACGGCGGGGGACACCAGAAATGGGCTTCACACATTGTATCCATGTCGGGAATCGAACCCGGGTCTTGGGCGTGACGAGCGAACGCTTTAACCACTAGGCTACCCGACCGCCCCTAACAACTTACGAAATGTATATATGTGTTTCTCTCTTTGGTCAGTATGTGCTGCTTTGGAACATATAGAAATACATTAATGAATAAATGATATTGAAAGATTTCCTGTTTCCATGTTCTCTCTTTCTTCATGACCGGATCTACGTCCCTTGGGCACGCCAGAAACCTATGATTGTGGGTTCGAATCCCGGTTCGCCCCGATTATGTTTCTAGGTTTGTCAGCACCATACCCGTGCTCATGGGTTTCACCGAAGTGGTAAACGTCTGAGACCTGCATCACTTCGGGCTTTCCTCCCACATTAAGCTGACACGCCGTGATATAACTGGAATAATGTTAAAAGCGGCGTTAAACCCAACTCACTTACTTACTCACTAATGCCCGGATCAGTTTTCATTGCCTACGTACACCTGGATTCTTCATGTGCATTTTGGCAATAAACATGAAGCAAAATCAGTGTCTGAGATGGTGTAACGGTTACCAAGTTACGTCGATCATGTTACCAAACAATGAGTTGCCTGATTATCTACAGAGTACCGCGGTATGCTGGGAATATAGCCGACAAACTCTTATTATATACATCGCAAAAATATCAAATCCTGCTTCTATTAATTACAGTGTGAACACAAAGAAACCATTGGGGACAGCAGTGTCACTTTGATTGACTAGATATCTAACATTGTAAAATGGTGCATTATAACAATCCGTTGGTAAAAGGGAAGTACCAGTTCTTTGTGGTACATTCAATATATGACATGACATTAGTTATTCAGAGCTCCAGATAACTTTTTGAGCAATCGAGTTTTTACTCGAAGGTTTCTATTTGAATTGGGTTATTACATTTTTCATTGAGTGACCAATATTTTTTCACTCATCTATTCATCATTCTATTGTGTTTTTTTCCAAAATGAGTGAATATTTTAAGATTTACACAAATTTTGTTTTTGATGTACATAACGGTTCTAAATATACAGGATCGATTCGGAAAGTAAATTAGCTCGTAATCGTGTTTCTGAAATTAGCTCCTTTGTGTGCATGCTGAAAAAGCTTCATTGGGTATTTACGCGTGCTTATTTTATTCATTTGATTTTTTCATTTAATTTAATTTTCTTTTTTAGTACGCAAGTTTATTGTAAGTAATTGGGTTTTGAATATTTGTTGTTTATGTGGTTTTTGTGTGTATTGTTTGGGGGTGGGGGGAGAGGAGGGTACTTTACGTAAATACGCTGCTTATCTGTAATTCTGTTATTGGTCCTAAGTTGATTATGTTACTGACACTCCCTTAGGCTACATAACATAGCATTTGGTCAAATAACATTGTTTGATCCCCCCTTTCAATCAGTTTGAAACAGCGACCGACACAATATCCTGTTCCTACCTGTTCTCAAGTCCAAAAGAAACTTTACACATGATCTTCTGTTAAGGAAATCCAACCTCATAAATATTATAACGCAATCACATGCATACACAATCAACCAAACACATTTTAACTCAACATAATGTCTCAGGCTTATCATGTAGGTCCTATTTGAGTAAAATCAACGCCAAAAGAATAGCACGACTCACTACAGCCCATTTTGTAAGAACCTTTGGCTGTTCCAGAGCTACAGTTGGCAACTTCATCAGTCGGGTTACACAGACAGGTCGGATTTCTGACCTACGCTTACTGGTAGATCACGCGTCACAAGTCAACGTGATGACCCATACCTCCGAACGTTGCACTTACGTACCCGTTTTTTAACGGTAGGTCATCAGCGGCCATGTTGTGTTTGCTTCTATCCATGCTGAAGGTGGTCTCACACGACTTTAGAAGCGTTTTTCATGTTAAGAACTGACTTTCTATCGGCTTCAGTGTTTGACTTTTCGTTATGTAAATTTAATTTTAGACACTATATGTGACTTATCGATCAATATAATCATATTCGACGTAATAAGCGTCCGGTTCTTATAAGCGCCCACGGCGACATTTGCATATAATATTGGCTAGTGAACAATACCAATTCCAATTAGCAATTGATCAATGTACGCAAGATTGATTTATTCGCGTATAATACGCACTCGTGTGTTATATGCATCCTTTATTATGGGCAATTAAATTTTGAAAAAATAATCTGTCGTACATCAACATTTCAGGCTGTCAGCATGAACCACGAGATTTATCTTTCAACTCTGTTTTTTTTTCACCAAAATAATATTCCAATAAGAGCCCCCATTTATAATTTTGAGAGCGCCCTGGGCGCTTATTACGTCGAATGCGGTATACATTTTTCAATATGGATGTTGTAGCGAGTACATTTGAAATCTGGTCATTCTTGAAAAAATTAAAATTTGATCATTGGTGCGAGCGACTTTAGCATATGAAGTTTCAGCTTCATGCCCAATTAGAGCCACGCGACTGTGAAGTTGATGGCAGATTGTAAATAAGAGCCATGTGTCAGACCAATTAGTTTCATTTTACATTTCAGGCAAAGGACAAACCTGAGTCACATTATAGTATCTCTCTCGGCTGAGTGGTTTCTGAGAAGGCGTTTCACAATTTCAAATTTATTTCATTTATTAAAAAGGGCGGTGGGGTTGTCTAGCAGTTAAATTCCCCACTTGGGTACAATGTGTGAAGTCCATTTCCGGTGTTCTCCGCCGTGGTATGGCCGGAATACTGCTAAAAACAGCGTAACACCGTTCTCCATAACTCACTCACTCATTAAAAACACTATGTTTTATTTCAACGTCATGTACAATGTGGTGCTAGAAATACTACTAAAGTTCCAAGCTCATCCCTTCAACCAGTTCGAAGATGACGTTGAAATTATTAAGGACAACACGACCTGCAAAAAATATAAATGTAATCGGGTGAACTAAAAAAGACTGTCGAAACAGATTTTATTGGGCATAAAAGGCAACAGCACAATTATATCCATAAATGTATTTGATAGAATTGGAAAACGATGTCAACTCTAATTATTATGAATAACATACTTGGAAGGATGTATTATTGTCTTCGCCTTCATCTACAGGATGGTAGAAAAACTGTTATATCAGTTTTTTTCATCATTAATCTGTAAATAAAAGAACATTAGTTTTCCTTCCTGATAGTGGTTGATGGTCTATGGAATGCCAGCAATGAATATTTCGTCGCATATAAATAGTCAATTTCTATCGGACAGATTGAGAAATTATTTCTAACCTTCTTCGTGTTCTTCGTCTGCATCTTCTTCACGTTTTATACATTCTTCATCGTAGCCTTCATCTACTCAATGGTAGGAAAACAGGGTTACAATTCCCCCTTGGGTACAATATGTGAACCCCATTGCTGCTGTTCCCCGGCATGATACTGCTGAAAGTGACCTCACTCACTCACTCACTCACTCACTCGATGTAGGAATATTACATTATTGTTACCAAGATCAATAGGTATTCGTGTGTATCCTCTTGATACATTGAACCGCTGACTTTAAATACTTTGAATATCTTTAGGGACATATTCAAGTACATGAACTGAACTGAACTTATATAATACGCTGTCTGTGTCGTATGACCATTGTTACCAGACATTCCGTTCCTGCAAGACAAATCTGAAATGAAACATTACAATTCAGTTGAAAGAATATTACAGCTCAAATAGAATTTGATCTTTTAAGAGCACCAATGACTGAATTATATCATACGGCTCAACTTTAATCTCATTAGTTTGGTTGTTCAAAAGTCGATTATTTTAGAGTCAGGTTAACTAACAACCAACCATAACTTATGCATGAC